CGTCATGCCACTGCGGCGCGTTCAAGTACTCTGTCACTGCGTCTCCTCCGCTTGACGACCCCAGCGCGGTTCTAGTCGAATGCAACTGCAGTATCTGCGTATCGAACGGTTATCTTCTTATCTATGTGCCCAACGAGCGTATCGTTTTCTCAAACGGTAGCATCGAGGAATTTAAGGTAAGTGAATATGTCACTGGTAACGTAGTAAGCACTGCAAAAGATTAGACCAGCTGATGTTAGTTCACAGTCTTACTCTTTCGGAACGAAGAGGATGGGCCATCACTTCTGCGGTACCTGCGGTGCGTCGTGCATGATCCGGTCCAAGGACCCCAATTTCTTTACCGGTATGACGTGTATCAATGCACGCATGCTGCAGGGCATCGAGCTTGAAAAATTGAAGCGCAAGTCTGTCGACGGAAAGAGCTTCTGAGAGCTTGCAGTGGGGTTGTTGGCGCAGATGGTGTTAGGCGTGTGTGGTGTTAGCCGGGAAGAGGGCGAACGAGGACCGGAGTTGGTGGTGTGAGGGGCCGGTCGCTGCTCATTCGCTATGATTCTGCATGTACAATTCGTACTTGCTGACAAAAGTCGGATATTCGAGATTATAAATGCGACTTTGCCCTACTGCAAGGCGTGCCATTGTTAGTGAAACTATGAAATCGGACAAAACAGGTTCGGGCGGTAGTACGAGACATACGTTTTATTGACAAGTAGCTGACACAGTCTCAATTTTCTGCTATTGACCGATTCAGGAACCTCCATTCACAGAACAAGCGCTTCCCCAGCTCATTCAAACTATGTCTCCATCGCTTTCCACGCCCAATACATCACCCACTCCAACCTCACCAGGCCGTTGGATCATAACAGAGTTCGGCAAGCCATCCGTGCTGAGATGGGAGGCATTTGATCCCATGGCCGCGCTGTCTGCTGGCGGAGTGCTCATTCGCATCCTGGTTGCTGGCATTGCTGGAGTCGACAACATTCAGCGTGTCGGCGGTTACCCTCATCCCCTGGCCAAGGCACCCGGCTTCACACCTGGCTATGACCTCGTAGGCGAGATAGTTGCGCTGGGCGATGCTATCCCAAAGGAAAGAGAACTAAACATCGGAGACAGAGTTGCAGCGTTGAGCATCATCGGCGGACATGCTACACACATTGTCCTGCCACACGAAGAAGTCATGAAACTGCAGCCGGGAGACGACCTGCTGAAAAATTGCGCACTTCCGCTAAACTACATGACTTCATGGGGCCTGCTGAAGCACAGTGGTGTCGATTTAACACCCGGCGCGACCATCCTGATCGGGAGTGTGAGTGGAGGATTGGGAACAGCTATGGCGCAGCTTATTAAGGCGTTCGACATGGGTATCAAGATGTACGGTACATGTTCGCCGAGCAAATTCGATTACGTGCGCTCGCTGGGTGTGGAACCGCTTGACCGAAACGCCCCGGACCTCGTGGAGCAGGTTCACGCGCTGACGGATGGCAAAGGGGTGGATGTCGCATACGACGGTGTTGGCAGTGAGAAGAGCGTCCAAGACTTCCTCGTAGCAACTAAGCAAGACGTCGGCAAAGTGGTCGTCTTCGGAGTCATGGGGGGCATCGCTGCGGATGGGAGTAAGATGCTGGCGAACGTCGATGAGCTCCTCGAAGCAATACTACAGCCACCGCGAGTAAGCTTCTGGGCGCTTGATATCGAGTACCCAAAGAAGAAGGAAGTGGCGGAGTTCTTTGCGATCGTAGAGAAGGTGAGAGAGGGGAAATTGGATCCGGTTATCGCGAAGCTGATGAGGCTGAGCGATGCGACTGAAGCGCATGAGCTTCTCATCCATGGAAGTGCAATTAAGGGGAAAATGCTGTTTATAGTTGATGAAGAACTAGCCAAGATTCACGGCGTATAAGGAGTCATAAGCAGGTGAGTAATATATCGCGCTAGGCTCATAACCAAAATCGGGGATTTTGCAACTATCATGATGAGAACTTGGAATTACAATAGAGTGAGCGACAGTTGAAGATTATACAGTAAAAGCGCTAGTAAAGCTACACGATGTATGTGACCGCGAAATGCATTGAACGGAAGCCGACTCTCTTTACGCATCCGCGGAAACATCAAGCCGAACACTTCTCGTAGCATGTTCTCAGGAGGGTTCTCGCACAAGGCCTCCTTCGATTACTGATACGGCCGTGCTGTCCCCGACGTCTCGGAAGAAATACACTCGCCGCCTTGTGCATTCGTAGCAACATCCCCTAGACCCACGGAATTCCAATTTTGAATGTAGGTACTGGGAGGATACATCGCGTTCGTCGTGTTAGTCGTATGACCAAGCTCAGTGTTGTAGTAGCCTGAGCCTGTACTTGATCCAGTTATGTGCTGAGAGGTATCGTTCCAGGTGGCCGATAGATTCGGAGTCATCGATACGCCTGAAGGTTGATGAAACACGCTTCCGGTAGTTGATGCCATGTCTGACCCCGAGTAGTATCCCTGGTTCGACGTAAGGATTGATGTCAATGGAACCCGTACATTTGCCTGCACATCTTTTGCACGAATTCCCGTGGTAGCTTCAGGACATTCACTTTGAAGCCTCTTCTGCAGTGAGCATGGTAGACCGATTCCGTTGTCACACAGTCGCTCTAAGAGATCTTCAATGATGTTCTCCAGGTTAGCGACCTTCTCCCTGCTTTGTTGCTGTACATGTCCAGTCTCGTTCCTGGCCGCTGCCAAGTCGATTTCCAATGCAGAGATGCGTGTCTCCTTGGCTTCGATCTCTCGCATAATGTATGCGCATATGTTGTTTCCTCCAGCTCGTTCTTGTCGTTTGACAGGCCTTCTCTCCTGACTATGCTCAAAACTGGGTCCCGGAAGGAAGTTCGGACTCGGAGGATCTGACTCAGGATTTACCAGTCTCCATATGAACCTCCATCTTGTTTCTTTAGTGAGCGTCGCCCACGAGGGGCATTGTTCACTGCGGCGGTGATGAGACGCAGTGTCGTCCAAACCCTTACCACAAGAATCGCCGATGCAGCGCCACTCGCAGCCTGCCAGAGCGTGCCTCTTGAGTAAGTCCGCTGGCCTTTTCTCGTCGTCTCGAATAGGTAGCCGCGTACAACATTCCTTGCATATTACTATTCGGTGACGATTCATGAGACTTCGCATGAGCTCTGAAATTGTTGTGTTGGTCCCCTGACATCCATGTTGCTCGGACATTGGACATCGCATTTGTCCAATGTGAGTAGGAGACGAGTTAAATCCAAGCTCCAAAGGCTCCTGCTCGCGATTTGGCTTCTTGCGCGGGTGTTCATCATCATCCTCTTTCTCATATCTCCTTGGATTTGCCCAGCTGGGCAAAGGGAAGGCTTTGCTGCGCGCTCCGATTGTAGTACTATGGGACGTTGTGGCGCTCTTCGGGGAGTCGTCTGATCTAGAGCCGTCGGTCGTTGTGCAGGTCGATGTTATATCCGCCGCATTATTTTCCGTACTGTCACCTTCCGACCACGTTTCAAACGTCTCGTAAGGGTGATGTTCTGCCTGTAAATAAGACCAGAGCTCAAGTACGAGCGACCTAGTAGACGGTCTGGGTGTGGTTCCTGGTTTCGGGCTTTGTACCGGAGCGATCAGTGAGCTGTCCATGCTCATGACCGCATCTGCTCTTGTCGAGAGTGCTAAAGAACCAGCATCTTCAGTTGCAGTAATCCATTGCGTAATCCCATCATCCTCCCCATTAGGGTGGCTGCCATTATCTTCTGGTGGGGCCCGATGTACTGGGCTATTTGAGGTTGTAGTCGCTATGTGTGATCCTGGTGCTGGTGTCTTAACATGTCCGTGAGTCCGCATCTGCCACTTGAGCGATTTCAACACCCTTGGAAATGGATTTACATGAACGGTGTCGTACGCTTGCCGTGTTGTGGAAGTGAACCGATGAAGAAGACTTGTTGATGACCTTGCTGTGACTGATATTGTCGGATCTGAAGCAGCCGCACGCGATTTGACAGATTTGTTTGGTGGAGATGACCGCTCAGGTTGGCGTCTATTGGTAAGCTCTGGTGTTGACGATACTTCTCTCTTCGAAAGGACCTGATTGGGGGGGTACGTATGGATTTCAGAAGTTGTAAGTCGCTCGTTGGCGTCGCGTCGTTGGTTGGTAACAAGTGCCGGCGGGATTGCACAAGTGGGGTTGTCCCAGGGGAGCTCAGTCGAGAGACCGAGAACATAGTGCGCCTTTGACTCAGACCGGTGCCTTCTCTCGGTTCGGCCTTTAGGGGAACCACCGTAGCCACTGTCGCATGATGGTGCAGGTGGTAATATCGATATAGTATCCTCTTCATACTCAGGAACTTCAGAACCCGAGTCAGAGTCTACAAGGGGTTCGTCGTGTTGATACGCAGTTGGTTTACCTCGCATAGCGAGATAACAGTGTTGCCTGCCACCGGAGTGCGGCTGCATAGCTGCGACCGAGGTCCCTCTCTGTACGCGTCTTATCGGGATCTCTTCGCGCCAATGCTATGAGCCGAAAGTACGTCGAAGAGAACAGCACAAACTGAAACGACCGCCGTAAGATCTCACAAGAGGGCAAGGCAGCCTTTTGATTAAGCAGGAGCAGCGTGCTTGCCGTAGCTAAGGCGAATGCCACCCGCGACTGACCAATGGCGCGTTGCAGCAAATTGTAGGCAAGGCAAACAATTTGTTCAACTCTACGAAAATGTCACGTCGGACGTTCTCTATGCAGCCAAGACATGACTTGCAGCTATTAATAGAGCGCGTTTTGGATGGTTGCACAAGCAAACTGTTTATCTCTTCTGACTGCACACATCATTTTGTCGCAGGATGAACCATAATCACCAATAGTAGGTAACATAGACAAAGAAACATATTCGCTGTACAAGATGCTCAAGTGGTAAACCCTTGACCTGATATGTCGAGGCGGTGCTCGATCGGAATCATGTATTGCAGCCTGTCGTGTATAACACAATCCGTGCAGACCATGAAGGGAATGTGTCATTCGAGTAATCATGCCCGTCACTGCTAGTCCAAATGATGGAATCATGAATGCTACTGGAATCAGCCGAGAGCCCAATGTCTGGATTGGATACACCAAACACGCCCGTAACTACCTCGACAAACAAGCCAAAGCACCCAACACGGAGCAGCAAATACGCCATCTTAAAGAGTTCTACAAGCAACATTTCAGCTCGACGGAGCGTGTCATGTTGCGTTGGTTATGGTGCCAGAGACCCGTCGTTCAGATATGCGAGATCATCCCCGTAAGTCTATCTCACCAGACCTGATAAGACTTTTCGTACGTTGACTCAATCCAGCCCAATCTCCAACGGACCACTTTTCCTCTGGAAGTGTACTTCGAAATCATCGAGACGTCGCATGCACTTTCAGCTGCTTTGCTGCGACCGGGGCTACTACGTGAGAGTAGGAGGATGTTCCACGAAACGGGGTCGTTCGACGTGGAGAACACAGAGGCATCGCCGAAGCGGAAAGTCTTGTGCATCGGCCATGTAGTCGACAAAACGTATCTAGCATGGCCGCTAGCCCTATCATTCGTCATCGCGACAGTCGTAGCGGTTATCGCAGGAATCGCAACACGCAGCCTATCGTCAGGTGCGGAGCTGGGGGGTTTCATCGGCGTCGGTGTCGTATTGTCATGGTCGTACATCTTGTGGCTTCTAGGATAGCTCATGAATCCATGCGTCTGAACCTCTGCCCACCGTCCTCATCCCTCTCTAGCAAGCCTCTCATCTCTGTAGCTCTCTTCTCCACCTCTCTTGCGCTGCCCATTCGACTTTCTTCGGGATGCCATCCTTCAATGTGCGTGAATAACGGTACGATAGCAGAGCTCTTCCAGGCCACTACGCCCCTCCTCCATGTATGTACGAGCGTAGCTACGAAGAACGCAATGCCCATGATGACCTCAATAACTGGTACGCTTATCCAGACCCAGTGGACTTTTATGTATTGCTCCGTCGTGATTGTTCTACCAGGGAGGTTGATACTGCTAGGCCCCTGGCCGAAGGCGTACGTCATTGAAGTGCTAATAGCTTGCACAGTCTGTGTGAGATTTGTAGAGTTTTGCAAGGCAAGACCGTACGCGTCCTTGATTGTAGAGGAAAATATACCGGAGAGAAACGTCATCATTCCCTCGTTGTCGACTGGACCAACGCTGAAAGTTGTGTTACCGGGGAATGTTGTAGTCTCGTTCGAGACGTTGAAAGAGACCCAATAGTCCGGGTTGAATGGATTGGCGATGCCGTAAAGTTCATAGTCTTGTATGATTCCAGGGTTGAAGGTACCGTTCACGACGTTCATGTTACGGACATGCCGACCGACCCAACGCATGTCACACTCAGTGAGGTCTGGATTGTCCATGCTAAAAGGCGACACCATGCTGGCGGTAGCGAAACTGACGATGGTGCTGTTGAGTACGCTGCCGATTTGAGATGCGCGCTGTATATGAGCGGTACTGTTGAATTGAGTTGATCCTCCGCCACCTGAGCTTTGATGGGAAGACGACTCAATGAAGAAAGCAGATGGCGTTGTATAATTGCAGCTTCTTCCTGCGTGTATACTGCCACAGACAATTTCCGAGGCGGATGTGACATTCGTACAGTTGCTAGCCACTGCCAGGGTTGTGAAGTCGTCCCATTGGCAGTTTCCAGTCTGACATTCAACTTGCACTGGTGCACTGAGATTGTAGAGCCCATTCAGGATAGCGCCTTGTATTTTGGGGTCCATCATCCGCCCTGTTCGGGTTGTAAGCTTGGAACGGCTTCTAAAGAAGTTACATATATAACTTACTGATAACACCTCGTCCGGTGACGCCCCTGGCGGCGCCGGAATCATAAATTTGGTTTTTGTAGAAAGTCGCACCAGAGGTGTCGAAACGCAATCTTGAAGGATACGAAAGCAACTGCTGTGACAAGGGGCCCATGGCGAGGGACAGTACCGTGATGAGAGAACCCCATGTTGCCAACTTGGTTTTGAGATGCAATCTCCAAACAAGTTCCAGAGACCCCCAAGGTCCACGGCTAGCGTCGTCGAAGATTTGCATATCTCGCAGCGGGTGTGGTGACCTAACCAGATGAATCCACTTGAGTTGACTCAAGCATGATGCAACTGGTACTATCAGGGCTGTCCGCGATAAGGTCGAAAGAAGTGCAACAACTGTGTTCAGCGTAATGTTATGAACAAAATGCCAATTGGACAAGGGTCTCTCCTGGTAGACTTTCAATATGATTGTTATGGCGACAATGCATAGAAAACTGAAAAGTGCAGATGCGATCTCCCACCGCCAATCTCCCCAGTGAAAGCTTCCAGAACGCTTCGGGGGATCGTAGTGCGTTCGGACAATAGCCTGTTCCTTCGAAGATACGGATTCTGGTCCTTCTGAACTCCATGCTAGGTTGTTACCGAGTAGCCTTTCGCTATGAGTGGAATGGCCGTGATCCGGGATACCATGTAAACGATCCTGCTTGAGGCTGCTTGCAAGTGGGTCTGCTCTGACTGGAGCAGTGGCCGTCGAAAGGTACTCTTGGCTGAGCTCCAGCGAACGCATAGTGGCAGAGCGAGATGAAGCCATGCTCAGGATCCGGTAGAGCAGCGATAGCTTCGTGTGTCAAGATCTGCGAGGAGTCGACAGGACTAAGTACTGTTACATACGAGAGGCCGCTGGGCTAGTGGCTTTGGTGGCTTGGGCTAGGTGGGCCAAAAGCGGCTGAGGTGTTGTACAGATTCTGACCATTGGCTATGGTTTGGCAAGGCGTCCTGCCTAGTAACACCTAACGCTGTGTTCAACGATCTGCAACGCACGCGGATATACCTGTGTCATACAACAGTGATAGGTCTCCTGACGGCTAGGATGATATGGACGGTAACACCAAAAGAACTTGATCATTTCGAGATTGATATTGGACGTGGCAAAACTATCGCAGGGGTATCTTGGTGTTCGAAAGCAAAGGGGGCAGGAAAGTAGCTCGAAGTATTACAACTCGTCGAATGCGCGCAGTCTCTCATCGTCATCTAGTACAGGCTGCGATTCGGGTGTCTCCATTTTTGGACTTGCAGTACTGGATGACGGCCCTATGATTGCCTCTTTCGCTATGTCTGGAATGTCGGCATTCAAGATTGCCTCTCTGGTCGCAGGATCGAGTGTGTTCTTCGGTTCGTGTGGGTTATCGGCCGGTTGCGACGGGCGGAAGAAAACGAGAGCCAGTATGAGTGCAGCTACAAAGCCCACTACAGCCCAGAATATGCGCACTCGATCTGTGTTATGTCAGTTGGGACGGAAACAAAAGAAGGTTATGAGGATAGCCATACGGGTGTTCTTCGCCTGCCACTGCGCTTCCGACTTGGCCCTCGCATCGACACGCTCTTTCGCTCGTTCGAGCCTCGCCGTCAGCGCATCGGCTTTCTCTTTGCCCGCCTTGATGCGCTCTTCTAATCCGCTCACTTGCTCCTGTTGTGTCTTGAAGCCATCGAAGGCTTCTACTTGGCCAGTCACATCCTCCAGTAACTCTGTGGTGTCCGACTCGAAGTTTTCGTGGAGTTCCTTGGTCAAGCCAGAGAGCTCTTGCAGTGTTCCGATGGTCTGGCGCAGTACGGAGACCTTCTCGAGGATGGAATAGTAGGTGTCGTCTAGACGGCGCGACGTCTTGAGGGACTGGTCGGAAAGGGTCTGCAGAACCGCACGAAGGTCTCTGCGGGCCATGTTAGAGAAGACATCTTGGGGGGACGCTACGGAGCATCATGGGGGTTGATAGTGAATGACGCAGACGCACCGTTCTCTAGCTTCAACTCTCTTAGCCTCTAGCTCCACATCTGCCTGCCGGATTGGTCTCCGCGGCGGGATGGTGATGCCTGGAGTGCTTTCCTCCTTCCCATGCACGCTGCCATCTGCCTGCCCTGGTGCGACGCTCTCCCTGCGACTGTGACTGGGGCTCGTGTCTCTGCTCCCTCGCGCCTGCCTCAGCAGGTCTCCGAAGCTAGTGGGCGGCTGTATTTGGATGGCTGACTGCATCGCCTCTTTGGCCGCATGGCGTCGGCTGGAGCTGTGGCGGTGCCGGTCATCGTGACGGTCGTGGTGGTGTCGCGACGACTTGTGCTTGTGCAGGTGGGAATGCGACTTCTTCTCGGGGTCAGTCGTCACGCGCGTCGCCGAACGGGAGCTGTAGAGGTTGGGACGGAACGATCTGGGGTCGGCCAGGCCAGCATGGAGGTGAAGCTGTCCGTCCATGTCATGGTGGTGGTTGGGTCGGCGCAACGAGGCAGTTGTCGGTGCTGCTGGGTTCCAAGATCGACTTCCGAGTTTCGCGTGTCATTGCAGGGGTCTCCTTCCGCTAGCCAGCTGGGGAAGCGCATGTGAAGAGAGTCATGAAACAGCCTAGACAGTCATGATGATTGTAGTTTTGCAGATATTATATTGCAAGTTGCCTGTATAGGTGATTCCACGTCCATGGTTATGGTACTTTCAGTAGGGAATGGCATTTCATTTCTTTACTCATGGGCAAGGTTCTAATATGATTGCTTTTTGCTCCGTCTTCCACTGTGGGAAGTCTCGATAGGGTATCATTGCTCGCATCCCGCCCTACAGACTGGACTTATCTGGGCTGGTTCCGGTTGCTCTTGCTTTCCCGGTAGTCTCTAGGCAGTGCAGTCGCGCCTGCCTCTGCACCTTCTCTACATCCTCCCGAAGCGGCATTTCCTTGACCGCATTTTATGCTTCAGCTCTAATCTATCCGACCCGAGCTCATGACTTCAGCATCTTGTTGCGCTTCTCCCTCCTCTTCAGGCGCTCGACGCGCTTCTTGTGCATCTTCTCCTCCATCTGGGCGAATCGCTCTCGTTCTGCTTTGGCGGCGCGCTTGGTCTTGATAGCTTCGACTCGTCGCTATTGCACAGTCAGCTCCTGTCTACTTGTAACCAAAAGTCGTGGTTTCCTACCTGTCTCTCAGACTCCTTCTCGTCCTTCAGCTCCTTCTCCTTCGCCTTGACAGCAGCGAGCGCTTTCCTCTCCTCACTGCGCTTCTCCCATGAGGTCTGGCCAGCCTTTGGTCGGAAGGGGCCCTTGTTGTCGTGCCATTGCTTGCCTGGGGAAAGTTAGACTGCCATGTCGCAATGGTATACTGCACACAGCTGTCGCATACCGTTCTTTTTCATGCCCTTGACAGGAGCAGTTTCCGTCGCAGGAGGCGCCTCGATTGTCACAGATTCAGACATGGTTGTAGTGTTGCGCGACCGGTGGATCTCGCAAGAAGTTCTCGAACCCAGAACACGGCGGCGCGAGAAAAGTTAATGCCGATTATCGATAACTAGCGCACTTTGCCGGCGCGGGCTCCCAGCCAGGGATCCCCAAATCCCGCCCAACTCAAACGTTATCAGATCGAACTGATCTGATAAGCTGCATCAGCAGAAGTGCGGCCGGAGCGCGTTCCCAACTGCTCGTTGCGCCCATACTTTATTCGCGCATGCAGAATGGTCTGGCTTAGTAGGCGCTGTGCGCTTTCCACTCCTGTAATACTTTCTTCCGATACTGCAGAATTTTCCTAGGCTAGCTAAAGAAAGGTCGACCCTGTTTGGTACAACGTTGGGCGTTATCATCTTCTCCATCCCCGTCGCACACACGGCCCGCTACATGCTCCCTCGAGCAAACTCTCTTCGTCGTGTTACACACTTCCGAACCTTCCTCCACTCGCCATAACGCAAACGCTACCGGTGTACTCCATCATTGACATGGGCTCCGATTCATAACAGTAGCCACGCGCCCTCTCACCGCCCACGACTCTTCGCACGCAACATGCGCTCGGCCTCATAACCATACATTCAATACAATCACACATATCCGTTGACGAGCCACACACATTCCGCATTCATGGAAGCACAAGAGAGTCCGGTGTCGGTGGTGGGGGGAAGAGGCCGGCTGCCCAACCCAGTCATAATGGAAGAGGTCCGGAGTCCTGCTACGGAGCATACCATAGGCAAGGGAGAAGAGGCCTTGAAGGACGTTCTCTGTGGATCCGCGGCAGGAGTGGTCGGAAAGTACATCGAGTACCCCTTCGATACGGTCAAGGTTCGGCTGCAGTCACAGCCCGACCAGGTGCCACTCCGCTACACCGGGCCACTGGACTGCTTCAAGAAGTCCCTACAGCAAGATGGCTTCCTTGGAATATACCGGGGGATCAGTGCGCCTCTGGTAGGAGCTGCTGTAGAGACGAGCACCTTGTTCTTTAGTGTGAGTAACGTGCCAATGGAGAAGTGGATCAAGCTGATGTGGTATGCAGTATCGTCTGGCTGGCGATGCACTCAAGTCCTCGGGATTCTATCCTGAACTGAAGAGACACCCTGAGCGAGACTTGCCGTATTCCGGCATGCTCTTTTGTGGAATGATCGCAGGCGCCATCACCTCACTCTTCCTAACACCGATTGAACTCGTCAAATGCAAGATGCAAGTTCCCCTAGAAACGAGCGGTACCGTCGTGGCCGCACCAACTATCAGAGGAGTCATTGCTTCTATCTATCGTCACCAGGGCCTCAAGGGCTACTGGCACGGACAATTTGGAACCTTGATTCGCGAGACAGGAGGCGGCGCGGCGTGGTTCGGTGGCTATGAAGGCATGAAGATCCTGTTCAAAGGCTCCAGCACTTCAGCCAAGGACGAAGATATTCCCGTCTGGCAGCGCATGGCCTCTGGTTCTGTCGCAGGTGGAGCCTACAACTTCATGTTCTACCCTGCGGACACGATCAAGTCGAGGATGCAGACCGAAGATGTCAAGCAATTGACTGGCGGAAAGTCAACATTTAGCGCTGTAGGAAAGGCGGTTTGGAAGCAACACGGTATCAAAGGCATGTACCGTGGGTGTGGTATCACAGTTGCGAGGTCCATACCCAGTTCTGCATTCATCTTTACGGTATATGAAGAGTTAAAGAAGCGATGGCCTACTCGTCGGGTAGAGTAGGACCGTTACGGAATTTCGCGCTGGATGCGCGGAACTCGTCGAGCAGCATATCATGGTGTTTGGGGGCGTTTGTATAGCATCAGGCGGGAGCGTCGAGATACCATGTATTGTTACATTGAGCGTATAGAGAAAAAGCCGCAGTCTTAGATTATAGAGCGCATGCACATGCAACATTCGCCAAATATTTATGCCTTCACATGTCAGAGCGCAAACACCCCTGTCCTTTCCTTCTCTTAGCGCGAAGCTGCACCAATCCACGGATGTGGGGAAGCAGCGACCGGCAATGTGACGCGAGCCGAGGATCAGATGCCAGCAGCCATTCCGCGACTGCGACTCTGCGCTATCTATACCCGACCGCAAACCTCGCTCTCGTCTCCATGCCAGCCTCATGATACGTACACTGTACTTTTGTTCTTCTCCTCACTCCTTCGATTTTCTCCTCTAGGGTTTCTGCGACCGTAAAAGGTAGCGGCAAACGTCATCGCAACGCGCGCGCGCTGGACCGAGGCTCTTCTTCGCCGGATGCAATCCAGCAAAGACAGAACACAACACTCAGGCCATAACACACACATACAATCGACATGGACAGATTACACGCTCTCGAGGTATGTTGCAACCCTTCGGATATCGCATTCTCTCAACGCGAGCTGACTGTACAAACAGGCTGCGCTCGACAGGATTGTGCTAGATCCAAAGTACCACGATATCCTCACGCTGGTAAAAGGTGTGAGGAATGGCATCGTGTACGGAAGCAAGGTGCGGTTTCCGCATGCGCTTGTGTAGGTTCTCGCAGGATTGTGCGTTTATGGAGGGATGGATTGCTGACGCGTGGCTGCAGAATGATCTTCCTCTTCAGATCTGGAAGGTACGTAGACCTTCCCTTACCACCAACCCTCTTCTCCACTCCATAATCAGAAAGTATTCATGCTGACAAAAGCCAAACAGTTTCCGATCGAAAGCCTTGCTCGTCTACAAAGCGACCCGCCAACACGCCCGTAACCTCGGCCTCTTCGCCCTCGTCTACAAATCCTGCATGATCTTTCTCCGACACGCGTCCCCGACCGGTAAAGAGCGACATTACGATTCCTTCCTCGCCGGCCTTCTAGGCGGCTACACCGTCTTTGGTCGCACAATTCACAATTCTGTGTCTCAGCAAATTGTCATATACGTAGCTGCACGCGTATTGTTAGCGTTGGCAAAGCTGGCAGTACAACCACGACAGGTCGGGGGTGGAGCTAGTGGACAAGGAGTTCAAGGAGGTGGTGGCGGTTGGGAGCTGTTCGGCAACGGCGAGATGAGGAGAACGATGGCGAAGAACGGATGGCCGGTGTTTGCCAGTCTGAGTTGGGCAATGGTTATGTATATTTTCAGGTGGCATCCTGAGGCTGTGCAGAGCAGTTTGAGGAGCAGTATGAGTTATATGTGGGTATCCCTTGAAGCTCAAAGAATATGGGATTATGCTAACGTGTGGACAGTTACGTTCAGTCGGACGACTGGAATTCGTTACGGACGTTACTTTGGCATAACAAATGAGCAAGGTGGAGAGGAAGGGCATCGAGTGACGGGAGAAGACGTCATGGTTAGATCGAGGACCCAGCATGCAGAGGCGAATGCACGGCAATTTAGATGCATATACATTGGCGCGCTACACCATGACCGTGATAGAAAGAGAATATCAGGAAATATCCAAAGTATTATGAGACAATTAGATCTCCTTTCTAAATCCATCCACCAGTAACAAAATCTCCCGACCGACGAGGTTAAAAGCGGCAACATTGCTTGACACGACCCCAAATATCCGTCATCCATAGTTCCATCGCTCCACAACATGCCAAAACGAAGCGACCAATCTCACCAGAGTCATACCTAACTCCTTGGTCTACAATCGCTTTCGGTGTTGACCGGTGGCTTTTTACCCCACTTCCAACGCCCATGTAGGCGGCCTCCGGTGAGCCCATCTAGGACACGCACACGCGACGCGTTCTCCCCAAAACAAAGTCCCCATGCCGTCATCAGGCAGAACACTCTACATTCCGGCTACCTTCGGGCTTTTACCAGCTCGTCTTGGACGTATCCTATGCTATCCTTCCGTCGCGTGGTTACTCGAGGGTACTGTCGACTACCCCAGGTTATGAGCACGCTGGCCGGTGTCGGAATACGGTATTAGATCAGCGGAGGATGTTAGTCCTTCAAACTCCTGATGCGACGTCGCTTGCGATAAATGCGGGGAAGGAGGTCCAGTGATGGGTTGTTGGAGCCAGGTAGGTGACCGACTCAGGCTTGGGGTCGGGCAACGTGTCTGTCGCGGAGGCGGTTATGACTCCCTTTCGTTCTGTCGTATATTCTGGCTGGCCGATGATCGCTCATGTACTGTGTGTATAAAGACTTGGTGTGATGTGTTGTAGTTGTTGTTTTCGGTCTCTTCTCAAGAGTTTATTGATTTGGAGGTGTCTTGATCTGTATTATTAGCTTGTATACTATTACCTTTGCCAAAACGATTCTTGTCCTGTGATAAACAGAACTGTCTTCTATTGCTTGCTGTCCTTGTTCTTTCTCGTAGAGCTGTCGAGGTAAGATGCACTACTTCTCTATGTGTATGCAATGAGTCGACGTTGCCTACGTCCACACCTTCCACGGCAATGGTGCTGACTACGTTGATCCATACCAAGCAAGGTCAACTAACATACCTTCAGGAAAGACTACTCGATACTCTTACTATCGTCAAGATGTACGACCACGACGATCCGAACAACCCCTCCCATCAGCCGGCTCTGGATAGCCCATCGGCAGACAGACCGCCCCAGTTCAATTGGAGAAATTGTGGCTACGACTGCGGAGAAGGTTGCGAGAAGGCCAGCGACGACGAAGGCGGTGGCGGAGTGAGCGACGATGAGACAGCCGTTGACGCGGACGAGGAGCAATACTTAATGCCCGTGCCGCAAGAGGAAGATATGAGAATGTTCGAAGACGCAAACAATGCCACGGCACACTCTTCAGACCTAGACCCCACGGATCTGGTCCAAGACTGTGCCGCCATGTCCGACAGCATGGTCGTCGAACCGTGTGCCACAATCGACCACAGTCCAGTAGCATCTGCCGGCGGCAGCGCTCGAAGCCGATCACCCGACCCGGGTGTTCTTTATTGGGTTGCCCACAGCATGCCGGTTGCCACGCCGTTGCCTATTGAGTACTTTTTTCTGCAGTCGCCGCTGCGTCTCAGCCCCCAGTACGAGCATTGCCGCGGAGACCCAGCGAGTCACCTTGTCGTGCCGGATCGCTCGCCCCTCTGGTATTTGGTGGAACAGTCTTGGAGCGGGTATGCGCCGGCTTATGGATACATCTCGCCGCCATAGTTTGGGGCGGTATTACTTGACTCGATTGGAAGGCTTTTGTTGGTTGTTGGTTGGTGGTTGGAGTCCAGGGGCGCTCTCTTTTGGAATGGACATTCAGATCATCCTTCAATGTTGTGTATAACGAACGGAACTCTTGAGTACCTAGGTTTTTCTTTTGGCGTTTGAGAGAACTGGTTAGTCGATGTATCCAAAAATTGTGTCAGGTCCCAGCCAGATGCATGGCCAATGTGAAGTGGAAAGCGATACAGGCGTAGCGGGGCGAACAAAGCAAAAATAAGATAGGAGTACTCTCACGATGTGGAATTATGGTAGATCCATTTGTCTAATTTTGGTTACGGTAACCGTCGTTCATGCTACATGTGTCAACTGCACAAGCCACCCGAAATCGCCCGCGCCTGCCCGATCACTCCTCACAACATCGGATGGTCAGCGTGAGATTGGACACAAATTATACTACCTGAGCACTGCGTCTGTAAACGGAAGGCGCATGTGCATGCTGCAATTGTGTCGTGTAATTGTGATAGATTATGCCATCGTGGCTACGCACACATGAAAAGATTCCTGCCTCAGCGGCCGCATTCGGGAATACACGATGCCGCCATGACCTTCTGTGGGCTCTTCTCAGCGGAGACAAGTACGTGGCTAGGGTTTCCGTAAATAAAGCATTAATTTCCACACAAAATGCCGCATCGCTTTCACTGCGAGGCAAAGGCCTGATCAGACTTTCTGAAATCCCCAGAGGCTGTAGTCATTCTCGATCAGCAAGCGGGCGTGGAGTCTGGAGTCGTGGAGTAGCGGATGCCATTTGTCGATCCCCGATGCTCGACATGGAATTGTCTAGTTCTCATCGCAGACCCACGCGGCCGCTGCACGTTCGCACCGTGCATCCTGGAACGAATTAACGTGCCGAAGATGCGGTCGGGTGCAGAGTGCTGACTCCACTGATTGACCGCTCCGCCCACGAGGCTGGTCATCGGGCAGCTGGTAGACAGCCATAGAGCCCTAGAACTTTCTGCCACTGCCCATTTAGTCCAAGTCCGAGGGATATCTCGTGTGTCAATAGCGGTGCACGCATTGATAAGACCATCTAAGTGCCTGGATCTTGCTGGTCCTAGGGCGCTCCGACCAGCTCTCGAACCTCAACAAGACGCTGGAAACTCAACCCTGTCGTCCAACGAGCTGCGCCCACGACTGAACACGACCGCGACCGCCCTGGATATAACCAACGGCTCTCACCACCAGTGCACGCCCACGCATCCCCAAACCCGCAAACCCCCGCGGTAGCTCTGGGCTGTCCCTAGCAGTCGCTCCACCATACGTCATCCTGCACCACACACGCCAGCGCCAGCTACTAGACATTGTGCCATTCACATGTTTCTCGGCAACCTCTCCTTCAGACGCTTTCCGCACTTCGACAAACCCTTGGCCGTGTGGGAACTGCGATACGGGGTCCAGTAAGTTGAGCCCGTGCCTGGGGGACGGCCAGAAGCAAAATGGCACGCGACTGACATGCTCCAAGACCACACGAGTACCCTTGAGCCCTACGCGCCTCCGAATCGACCGCCGTAGACAATTCCCTGCCCCCAACTAGCCAGCATCGGCTGCACCCTCCATCCCAGCGCTTCCACCACAACATACCGCCAGCGGGGATTGCGTGTGCTTACTTTTGCACCGAGCATTGTCCGCAACGTCGCTGTCACGCTCAACAGCGCCCCTACGCAGTTACATGCCTCCGAAATATTCCGAGTAAATTCCCCGCTTCGGTTCCGCACCTCCCCAGATACTAGGCCTCTGCCACTAGTCTACCCGGGCCACCGCATAGTCCTGCGATTGGCGAAGACACCGTTAGTCATATATCCGATTGCCTGTATAAGTATAGCATCAGGGAGCACCCTTCAAGTGCTGGAAATACTTAAAGATGGCGTCAGCAGCTCCTCCCAGGCGTTTCAAGGTCGAGCCCATCGAGACAACTGTCTCGTCCTCCAAGGACAAGGCTGCGGCAGAGCAGGACAAAGCTCCGGCACAGCAGGCCGAGAGGCCGAAGCCACGGAGGTTTGCACCACAGCCAATAGAGACGACAAAATCAAGTTCCAAGTCTAGCCGTAGGTTTGCGCCCGAGCCCGTTGAGACTACCAAGAGGTCCAACCGTCGCTTTGCTCCCGAGCCCGTGGAGACGACCACACGAAGCAGTCGTCAGAAGTTTGCCAAGGACTGGGAAGAGCAAACATCCCCCACTGGGAAGTTCAAAGCGGATCCTATGGAAGCGGCTTCAAGCTACAGTAGCCAGTACAGGGCTTCTCTAAAACTGCCTACCAAGAAATTTCGACCGCAATTGATCGAAACTGCCCAAAGACATCGCAAGGCTGGGGACGACACTCCCGCAATACAACCGTCCGACAAGACTGAGGCGACCCCGGACTCTGCAATAAGTGCCCGGAAAGCAAGGATACTGGGAATCCCTCCCACACCGCCAACAAACACACCGACTTTTGATATCAAACAGAACCCTTTGTTTTTGGAGATACAACGCAACGCCTCACCGTGTAGACGCCGGTCGTACTTTAGCTGCTCGCAACACTCGTTCCGTGTTCCTGACTTAGACCCGATTGAGTCTTCCGAGTCTGAAGCATCTGCGCCGCCATCGCCGACCGAGTCGCCACCTTATACTTCAGACCATTCGTTTATGTACAAAGAAGCTACTCGACGACGAGAAAGTGTTGACGACAGTTCTGCTGGCTACCTACTTGAGTTGGCTGCTAAGGCTGCAGAGAAACAGCTTCGGGAACAGGCCTTGGCCGCATTCCCGAACAGCGACTTCCACGAACCCGTGGCTCATTACGTGGATCATGATACAGAAGGCTCAGAGCCATCAGTCACTGAGGCGAAGCCGCAGCGAGAACCGTCCTTCACGCAGGTTAATTGGGATTTAATTGCCATGCGTGAGTATCAAGAGAAGCAGAAAGCTGGTAAAGAGGAGCAGAAGCCGAAAGAGTATGTCAAGCCTGCTTTCAGTCCATTTGGAAACCCAGCCGGCTTTCTGGATGCTGCTACGGCCAAGAAGTTTGCGAAAGAGCGAAAAGACCCCGAATTAGAGCGTCAGCGCAAAGAAGCCCGACCTCCTATGCTTGGACAGGACATCAAATTCCCGCGATGTGCATCACCGGAGCCATCTCGTTTTGACCCTACTCAAGGATGCGATGCGGTCCGGACGGCTATGTGCTATCTCTCTGAGCAGTCCAAGGCCGCGTCTGAAACAGGAGAAAGCTTATGGTGTGGAAAAGGCAACGGCAGGCAAACAAGTACAACACCATCATTGTGGTCCAATGCCAACAGCCGAGCTTCGAGCACGCACGGATTGTGGGGTGGATTTTGCGTCAACGGTGGAGACAAGTCCCCACGCGGGCCAGCCGGTTTACTCACACCCCACAATGAGAAGCCAAACCCCATGTCGCCTTGTCCAACGCCCTCTACGAGCCTCTTGCCACCTACGCCTCCGGCATCCAGCTCCGGCGTCACTTTTGGGCAAACAGACTTCTCGGGCATCGATGAGAAGCTCGCTGTCGAGCAGTCCATCGAAGAAGAATTCGGGGACAACTTTGTCACCCAAGTGTACAATTACCTGTCACTTGGTTATCCATCAATGGCACGTCCGTTCGATGAAGAGCTTTCAAAGATTTCGCACATTCCCATTCCCGAGTTGAGGCAAGACGATCACCTCGCCTCATCCCGTGGCTACATTCGTCTAGGCAACGACGGCAATTTGAAGGACACCCAGATTACCGAGGAGACATGCATGCGCTGGCGCGCCTTACGCATCTATATCCAGGAATGGGCAAGGCAACACCCCCACATGGCTGAAGATGAATTCATGGCTGGGGGCCGTGGAACTGCCGTTAGGAAAGGCAGTTGGGCGCTTTAGATGAGTGTTGCGCTCATGGATTACATCTTCCCTGTACATGGAGCTTTTTGAGCGGTTTAGCGTTTACATTCAGCGGTTTTTTTTTGGCGTTTGGTCTGGTGTACGTGGTCGGTCCTTCCCTGCATGATGTGGCTTGGTACCTGGATGCAGATCTCCTATGGAGCTGTTCCGGTTTCTCCGCTGTCTGTTTCATGGTGCCGGAGGGTTCTGTTGGGACCTGCATATTTCCTTATCTTGAGAATGTATATATGTTTCTTTTGAGATAGGTCCCTTGTAATCAAACCGGGGTTGGTTTCTAAAAGCTTATGAAATGTAGAATTCGGCAGTGGCAGGGATCGCTTGGCGGGTGACATCCGCATTCCGTCGTGGTTTCTTTTTCCCTTATCGCGCACCTCCCCGCCTCCACGCTTCAACGTCTCCGTGTGGATATTGCCGCAGATAGATGCATACATGGCAGGACAAGTCATGTCTTATTACCGGAATCTCACTGCGCTCATACCTAGGTATACAGCTTGAGTGGTTCGAATAGCCTTTGAGTGTGTTCTGGACGAAGCAACGCGTGTTGAATACATGTTTCTGCTAACAATACGGTGCTTCTCTCGTTGTTGAGGCTATTACTCACCGCTCGTCCTACCGTCAGTAAGATTATCCCAAGCATCGCTTACACTTGAATCCTTGCGATGTTTGATACCAATACGGACAATGCCTACCGTGCGGCTGGAGGCGTCCGCCTCGGACGGCGCCTAACTGGGTACATCCCACGCCTTGCGGTCAACCCCATCACGCCGAATGTTGCACCCCGCGCATCGTTCAGGGACAAGCTTACCTGTCGGTAACAATTCTTACCAATTATGCATCCCCACTGGCATTTCTTGGAAGGATGATAGGGCCGACACAGGATGCTAACTATTTAGGTCGACGTTGATGGTGATCATCGCCATAGGCCATCCACGCCATTGAGCTTCGAAGGATTCCAAGATACCGATTGCAACTTCGCGGAGATGTTTATTGACGTTTCTTGTGGGTATAGTCTCAGGATACCCGTCCCGTTTCTTGGGCCATATCCAAATATGATATGGTG